GAAAGCGGTCGACGAGGGGGTTTAAACGCCGCCATTTTCGGCACCTCCACTTGTACTGTTTCTGCCGTGGAGTCATCTAGCTTTGGAAAATCCGTCCAGGGGGTGTGATGTCGTACCTCACATACGGTAGTGAGCAAAAGGGGGGGGGGGGGGGGGGGGGGGTACTCATTTTTCGCAGGCAAAAATAAACCTTTGACCAAGCGTCCTCTTGGAGAGGACGGGGAGGCAGTCAGGTAATCCCATCCCGTAGCCGCTAGAGGGAGCATTGTTCCCACAGGAACAATGAGACGGGGGTTGGGGGGGGGGGGGAGTCACGTTTCGCATGCAGAAAAGACCATTGACCACGCGCATTCTTCGAGCGGACGGACAGATCCCGGATGAAGGTCAATCGTTCTCTCCTACTTCGTCAAAGGTGGCTCAAAGAGGTTTTCCCTACCCTATTGACCTCACTTCATTGTTGACATATTGAGGCTCGAGTTCTAAACAGCTACATTGTAAGTTCGAAAGTGGTGACTTTGTCACAGGTGGCTCAAAGTGGTTTTCCCTACTATCGACCTCACTTCATTGTTGACATATTGAGGCTCGAGTTCTCAACAGCTACATTGTAAGTTCGAAAGTGGTGGCGCGTTCTGTAGTGCCACAATAGTCGAATGGAACGTGTTGGAAGAGCGGCTGGGCTGTTGTTGTTGTTGTTGTTGTTCTACACTGCACTGGGCTGGTTTCTCGAAACTCATGGGGGCGTTCGGTGTTGCTGCTGTTGTGGGTGCACGCTCAGCTGGGACGGCTCGCGCGGTCCCATAATGATGACTTGCCGCCAATCGGCATTCTACAAGTTTCGTTTGGCGTCGTTCTGTCCGGCTCGTTGCGAAGTCGTTGTTGTTGTTGTTGTTGTTGTTGTCTTCACAACAAAAAACGTTCCGATCTCTCTATCCAGTACTTCCATCTGTCCGTGCCGATCATACACTTGACCGATCATTTCCCGTGGTCACAGACTAGCTGAAGCAATAAAGGTATACTCAAAACTAAACGGGCCCGAAGGGTGCGCAAGCCAATTTAAATCATCGGCAGATGGTCTGGGGCCCTCCGCTCTCCTCTACACACACGCAATGCTGGATACTGGGTTCGTATTCTACAGCTAATACACTGAACTTTGTCGGGAACGCCAACTGGTACGGCTTCCTCTTGTGCTTGCGTATTCGCACAGGAATACGGGTCTCCGGAGACCTCCGGGGGTTCCGCAGATGTGATGGACTTGACGCGCTAACTGCTAGCCAAATGAAGCCCACGGGCTGCTGCTAGTACACTAAAGCCCACTGGATGCTGCTAGTCAACCGAAGCCCACGGGTTGCTGCTAAATAGTAAACAGATGCGCACGAGGAATTGTTATTGTCTCACGTTCGTGAAGGTCTTGGACCTGCAGTACTCCACAATTGCGCCGTTCCAACCCTCCAGCTTCGCCCAGGTGGTCAGGACCTCCCTTAGAGTTGTCCCAGCACACTGACAAAAAAAAAACAGAGAGAGAGAGAGAGAGAGAGAGAGAGAGAGAGAGAGGTTGACAAAGAGAAACAGCTAGCAGAGTGGTTCCCGCACACTTGAACAAAAAACAAACAGAGAGAGAGAGAGGACGAGCGGGTATAACAAGGAGCTAGATATCGGAAAGCCCCCGCACACTCAACAAAAAAGGAGAGCGGGAGAGACGAGTGAGGTGACAAAGAGCCTGTTACCCACACGGGGCCTCCCGCGGAGTGACCCCCGCACACTTAAAAAACGTTATTGTTATTGTTGTTGGTGTTGTCTTGAAATAAAAACCGTTCCGATGTCTCTACCCAGTACCTTCATCTGTCCGCGATGATGTTAGCACTTGACCGGTTGATTCCCTCCGGTGGTCACAGGCCAACTTACCCAAACAAGGTATAGTCAAACGGTGTGGTATTCGAATTGCTACTTGTATGGGGCCGAGAGATGAGCAAGTCGTATAGAGATACCCCGAGAAAAACAATCACCACAGCAGCACAGCAGTAGAAAATTACTTCCGTTGTCCCGCAGCCTACCCGACCCCAATCTCAGCAGATCAGTAACACCCTCTTAATGTTTCCCGTCACCTATACGCTACGCAGCTGGCTGGCACTACCTGTTTGTGTTCGTATCTAGCATTAGCACCCCTTGATGACACTACACTGACTGCCGTGCTCTCACGATGATCCCCACTCAAGAAGGGGTCACTTGTACCGTAGGTGATACAAGATAACACACCCCCTGTACCAATTTTCAAAGCTCGGTTGCTCCAGACCTCAAACAGCAGCGGCGCCGAAAATGGTGGCGTCGGAACCGTCTACATAGTCGAGAGCTTTCCAACAACGCGTCGCTGTAGGTGATACAAGATACCTCCTGGACCAATTTGCAAAGCTCGGTTGTTCCACACCATGAAGAGCGGCGGTGCCGATAATGGCGGCGTTGGAAACCGTCTCGTCGAGAGCTTTCCGACAACGTCTCGCTGGGTTTACGCACCCTCGTCGTCGCCGCTAGTACCGTAAATGACGCAAGATAGCACACCCCCTGGACCGATTTTCAAATTTCGATTTATCAACAACAGAAATAGTCACAGCGCCGCAAACGGTGGCGTTGAAGCTGTCTCGTCCACGGCTTTCCAAAAATGTATCGTTTCATTAATACATCCTCTTCGTCGTGGCGCAATCGAGCTCTGAAAATTGCTCCAGGTTGTGTGTTATCTTGTGTCATGTACGGTAACCGAGCTTGAAAAATCGATACAGGGGGTGTGGTACTTTAGGTCACCTACGGAGTCAACAGAGGGGGCCGGCAGATAAAAAACGCCAAAATCGGGGCGAAGTTACCGTAGGTTGCATAAGATATCACATCCCCTGCACCGATATTACTCCACGACGAAGAGGACGCCGAAATTGAGCTCTACGTTTTCGGGAAGCTCTCGACGAGACGGTTCGACCACCGCTATTTTCGGGACCTTCACAGGTTTTCTGCCCTCGGGAGATATCGAGCTTCGAAAATCGGTCCAGGGGGTATGATATCTTCTGCAACCAACGGTATTCTTTCATCGCCACTGCTGTCGAGCACAGGTTGCGATACGGAGTACACCAGTGTGTGATATCTATGCATCGGACGGTATTTTTCATAGCCACTGTCGAGCTAAGGTTGTTACATGCGGAGTAGAGTTTAGTGGGACCGGCTTCTCGCCACCAATACAGTGAGGGTCACTGTTTAGTGCCGTTTGAATAGTGCTAATGCCCGGTATAGTGCCGGTTCGGTGTTTTCGGCGGGCACACACTGAGTTTCCAAGCCATTTGTACTGTGAATAGTGCCGGTCGGGAATAGTACAGGTGAATTTTCTGGGCACATACCGGCACTAAACAGGGACTCCCACCGTAAGTGTACGAGGAGATAGAACAGGGAGTGGGACCGCAGACAATATTATTCCATAAACCCTAACCCCACCCCAACTTCCCCGATTGTATGTATGCTTTATCGAACATGATTACATAATACTTTAAAAAAAGAGTACTAATTACGAAACTGCGAAGGCTACTGATTTGTGTTTTTGGACCTATTTTATAGTCTTGAGCCTCTGTTTCTGTCAACCGAAATACTGGTATAATGTACCGTCCGTTGCATGACGTGTGAGATATCACACCCCCTGAGCCGATTTTCGGAAGCTTGATTTCTCGGCAGGAAAAATTGCAGTGACGGCGTCGACAAAGGCGGCGCGGCAACCGTCTCGTCGATCGTTCTACGGTAGGTTCCCCAAGATACCACCCTCCCCGGGCCGATTTCCGAAAGCTTGATTTCTCGGCAGGAAAGACTACCATGACGGCGTCGAGAACGGCGGCGCTGGAATCGCCTCGTCGGTGGCTTTCCGGAAACGCATCATTTGAAATCGGCATACTCTTCGTCGTGGAGTAATTTAGCTTTGAAAATCGGTCCAGGGGGTGTGATATCTTACGTATGCCACCTACGGTAACTGCGGGCCCGTTCTGGTCTCCTGTTCGCATCAACACCAATAATATGAGTTTCTTCCGGGGGAACTCGATGAGCGAGAAAACTGGTTCAACCAATCCCAACCTTACTCGTGGAAGAGAAGACAGCAATCAGAGGTACAGCAGTAAATGAGAGAAAGAAAAAACTCCCCCCTTCCTACAAGCCATGCCGACGGGATGCGTCTTAGATGGCAATAATGATTACCATGTGAGAAGGAGTGGAGAGAACGCTACATCATGGTAGTCTTAGGAACACCAGAGCGGTACAGTGTGCTTGCGTCTTGATCCAAGCGGCAGCTTCGTACACATTTTTTTTGCTTTGCACCATGGTGCTACTGCTGTAGCCGCTGCTCCCTTCGGAACACAGAACTTAACTCGTCTACAATATCCCGCCAACAAACCAATCATCGCCATCACCGAGCCGGGGGGGGGGGCGTGGGGTCTTCTCTTATGTTTTGCATGCCTTATGGTTGGACCATTGACCACGTGTCCTCGAAAGAACGGAGCATTGTTCCCAGAACCGATCACCGATGGCCAATCGTTCCTTCCTATTTTGCCAAAGGTGGCTCAAAATGTCGTCCCTAGTCTATCTATCCTAAAGATAACACTTCCCGCCTTTTCAAACCACTTCCTATTCCCCAGTACAGCTACCGTCTTCTCTCTATTCATTCCTCAAACATCTCTCTGTACATCCCTTGTATTTTTCCCAGCTCAGTCATGCACACTTCCCTTCCTTTTCGTACAACTGACATTCCGCGACTACATGAACACGAGCCGGGGGGGGTGGTATCTAAAGTTTTCGCGATACAACATGGATGCATTGAGGACCCCTCCAGTTGGGTATAAGCGTGTTAAGCTGCTGTTCCTCTCCGAACACAGAAAATAACTTGTCTTATACTTACATATCCCGCCGATAAACTAAACAATTATCGCCATCACCAATCCCGCGGGGGGGGGTGGTATCTCAAGTTTCCGCGATACAACATTGATGCATTGGTGACCCCAATGTCCCCTCCAGTTGGGTATACGAGATTTCTACTTGTACCATTGGTGCTACAGAGTGGCTGCTGTTCCTTTCGGAGAACAAAAAAAAGCTTGTCTACAACATCCTGCCGATACAGTTTTCATCATCGCCTTCCACGATCCGTTGGGGGGGGGGTGGTATCTCAAGTTTCCGCGATACAACATTGATGCATTGGTGACCCCAATGTCCCCTCCAGTTGGGTATACGAGATTTCTACTTGTACCATTGGTGCTACAGAGTGGCTGCTGTTCCTTTCGGAGAACAAAAAAAAGCTTGTCTACAACATCCTGCCGATACAGTTTTCATCATCACCTTCCACGATCCGTTGGGGGGGTGGTGGGATCTAAAGTTTTCGCGATACAACATTGATGCATTGATGAACCTTGGAACCTTTCCAGGTGGGTGCAGCAGCGGTGGTCGCGACATACCGACTGCGGTAAATTGACAGGCAAACAACCACCGGAGCTCTGCCTTATTGAGTGTTGGGGAATGCACCGCATTTAGTACGGTAGCCGTTCCCTTGGTATAAGCGATGCATCGAACCCGTGGATTATCGGAACCGCAATCTATGAACACATAAAAGTGGCAATGTTGTTGCTGCTGCTGCGTCTCCAAAACAGAGTAGTAGTGAGAATGTTCACCGCGATGCTGCCCGCGAGAGAACGAAAACGGAAAAAAAATCTTTCTGGTTGAAATTTAAATCTTCCTGGAAAAAAACTGACGAATAGTTGTTGCAGGTGTGTCTGTCGTATGCCGGTACATACCATAGAGCGGTTTGTGCGTGTGTGCTAAACTCCCACCACCGCAGGGGGCAGTGATGTAAAGCCAACGACAGAGCAGACGCGCACCACAGCAGCAGCAGATGTCTCCAGCAGCGAGAGGGATATATGTTCACGTATGCACGTAGCCTACATGTTGTACGAAAATGACACCACAATCGCCACCAAAATAGCAAAATTGTTCCCACTTGCATACCGTATATGACACAAGATAACACACCCCCTGGCCCGATTTTCAAAGCTTGATTACTCGATGACGAAGAGGATACATAAACGAAATGATACATTTTCGAAAAGATCTCAACGAGACGGTTCCAACGCCGCCGTTTTCGGCGCTGTGAGTCTTCCTGCTGTTGAGAAATCGAGCTTTGAAAAACGGTCAAGGGGGTATGTTATCTTGTGTCATATACGGTATACTACAAAACAGCACCTTGAAGACGTGGAGGAAGAGAATCGTCGAGTTCGAGACGCTGGGAAAGGACGACAGCTCGGGACCATCCGCAACGAGGGTCTTCGGCTCCGCCAGCGGCTGCTCCAGCATCGAGCCCATCCCCCGCTGCTGCTGCTGCTGCTGCTGCTGCGGACGGTCCTCCGGCTGCAAGAGGGCCATCCATCCAGCAGAAGCCTGCTCGCCGCGGGTGAAGGGCACAAGGCACCCGAGCAGCAGCAGCGCGGACAGGAGCCACCCCGCGGCCGCCCGCACGCCCAGCCCCGCCGCCTTCGCCGCCATGCTATTCTCCGCACAGCAAATAGCTTTTGCTGCTGTGGCGCTGAGCCCTTCGTGGAGACCCCTGTCTCCGTGTTAGCAGTAGTGTAGTGATTAGAGCCCGCTTTTCTCTGTCCGCTGAGAGAGACTCAGACTCCTTTCGCCGGCCTCCAAAAAGCTGTCCACTGGTACAAAAGATACAGCGACCTCTTTTCCACAGCAGCAGTTGGGGTAGGTAAGCCCAACCCAGACAAGAGCGAGAGCGAGAGAGAGAGAGAGCACGGCCTTGGGCCTTGTCCTTTGCCAGACGACCCTCCTCCGCTAAGCGCGCTGTGGTGAGGTAACCACTCGGTCTAAATGTTGTATTGTAGGTGCTGTGATTGATTGACCTGATTGGCGAAAGACACCGAACAGGAATACAGTAATAAATATCTATGATAGAGATGGATTCGTTGTGTCATACATACTAAAAAAAAAAAAACATCATCACGGGTTTTTTTCGGAGATTCACCAACAAAAGGCGGAAGATCTACGATTCCTATCACGGAAACCGCGCGCAACGAACATGTTGTGCATGACATGCATACTTGTACATCCGTGTCGGCCGTTCTCATTGGCGGCAGGTATTGTAGCGACAAGAGGTGTTGACTTCACAGGGCAGTGCCGCTATGTATTCCAAAGAGCGATTGTACCGAGAGATGCATTTGTGCCAAGTGCTTTCGGTGCCGTTATTCAGAGGGCTTTCCGCTATGTATTAGTACAGGGCACCGCCGCTCTACTCTGTAGAGGACCGCCGACCCGTATTGTACAACATGGTAACCGATCCTGATTTTCGTCCTGAAAAAAAAACTGAGGAGAGAGAGAGGTTCCCGAGCATATAAGCTGTCATGTTCTCGCCCGCCATGTATACACACGCCGTACACAAACACTACCTTGCATGCCCTTTGGAGTTGCTTCGGAACCTTCAAGCCAGGTCTATGGTGTTGGAACCGTCAGATAGGAGAAACCGCTGAATCTTCAGATCTTGAGGCGTATTGTCATCCGTTCAATTTCTACTTCTTCTCAAGCTATACAATTGTATGCGTGTGTAGAAGGTGCGTATGCGGACAAGTATACATACACGCACAAAGTTGTACCAGTAGTATCCAACACACCCTGTGGGACATACAGCTGTACCACGAAGACTTCCGCGTCAGGTGGACCGTACGGTGTTAGCAGGTACTGAGCAGAGACCGGAGCGGTTGCAACATCAACAACACCCTCTGTAGACGGCACTCGCTGGACTACAAAAAAAGCAAGCATTAAATAATACAAATAAATAGTGGACGCGGTATCCTCCTATCGTTTTCCTCCAAGGCCTAGGTACATAATGTTTTTGTACTTAGCACTTAGCACCAGCTGGCATCACTGGTATAAATCATCAGTGTATAGACTTAAAAAGACTCGAAATAAGTCCAGTACCCAGCCGGTTTCCCTCCACTCACTGAAAAGACTCCACCACATCCCGTTCGACTGTGGGTATGTATGTATATATATCTCGAATGGGTAGTCTTTCAGTGTGTGTTTTTATTATGCAGTCTACAGATGGACCCCGCCTTAACAGTCGGGCTCACAAGCGGTATGCATAGTACAAATCGTACAAAAGAGTAACCAACTTCTTGTAGCGTATACTGCTGTATGCGTATGCATACGTTCGGTACAATCGTCGAGCATGAAGTTCTTCTGCAAAACGGGCGCTTCTTCTGTACACCACACACTAAATTTCGGCGGTATGTACTTGGCGGTGGTATGCATACGCACGGGGAGCGGGAGCCTGGGTGCACTCTTGCGCATCGGCCCGCTGCGCATATCCGCTCGCTGGCTGTCCGCTGCAAACTCAAATATGCTTAATTTAAGGTAAGCGTGTGCCATGTGCATAGGAGGAAGATTCCCACTTGCGGTACAGTGGGGGGCCCGGTTTAGCGACCCCGTACAGTAGTGTCACGACGAAATGTGGCCGCTGTTCAGGGCAAGTCGCTAGTGTAAATCGAACTACCGTAACAGCTATATATGCAGCTATACTACCGGGGTGCGGCAGTGCCTCGTGATTTTGTGGTCACGAAACAGGGCATGTCGCCAAACAGGGGGTCGCTTAACCTAGACCCCCACTGAATGTAGAGACAACAGTATGGAGTCGGAGGCGTTTTTTGTCATTGCTTGTGGTAACAACAGGTACTTCCCGACCGTCGTGCGGAATGCAAAACTCTTGGATCATGCATGCATACATCTACTCCACGGTTGGGTCCATGTGTATGTCCTCCCCAAAACCAATTCAATAACATGAGCAATAGACGTAAGAGACACTTCATTTGTTGGGTCCGTCCGTCCGTCCGTTCATCTGTCTTTGAAGTGTTTCGATATGAAAAAGCCAGGTCTTCCACAAGCTGGAGCACCCCACCATTGAGGCCTCGCACTGCACGCAAGCAAGATAAACTCATACTTACCCATGTATGTCAACATTTCAGGGGTGTGGAGTACATTGTCCTCTCAGCGATAATGCTTCCGTTTGTGTAGATCTAACGTGCTTTCAGCGATGATAGTGCTTCCGTTTGTGTAGATCTATCTAGGTCGTAGTTCCCAATATTAATATAACGACGAACTCGCAAGCCATGTGCACCTTCGGATTTACACGCCAAGATTAGTTATTGTCTACTATAGGCTATCAGCCACCGCTCTCGAACAGGTGCCACGGAAACTGGGCGGTGAGTATGCTATACGGAGGAATTGTCTCTCAACAAACAACGACTATTACTAATATTTATCTCACAAACAAGAACAAGTGCGACACTCTTTACCCGTCCATTCATACTTTCGGTTCTTCTATCAGGTGGTGCACTTCAGAACCTCAGGCTCGTCTTTCTAGGTCTCAAGGGTAAATAAAGCAAGTTGGGGCGACAGCGACCGCAAGACCTACGAAGACAAAGATCAAGGGGGCTGGACCCCCCCGCCGGACCCTCCCCCCCCCTGTCAGCCAATACTCTATCCGCTGAGGCATGCAAAAGCAAAACCTGGGTACCGTAAACGACACAAGATAACACACCCCCTGGACCGATTTTCAAAGCTCGATTACTCTATTTACTACGAAGAGGATGCAAAAACGAACCGACACGATGTCGGAAAGCTCTCGAAGAGACGGCTTCAACGCCGCCATTTTCGGCGGTGCCATTAATTCTGTTGTGTAGAAATCGAGCTCTGATAACAGCTTCAGGGAGTGTGGTATCTTGTGTCACCTATGGTACACCCTCCAGTTGTACGAACCAAGTTCCGTCCTCTCGAGGACGCGTGGTCAAAGGTCCAACAACTAAGGCACGCAAAACATGAGCACGCTCGCTCCCCTTCCGCTCCTTCCGCCGCCGCCACTGCTGCCGCTCGCTGTCGTTGTATTGTGCTGTCACGCCGGCCTCTAGGAACCGGCGTGCGCCTGCTACGCCCTGTTCACCGACACTGACCGGCGGGTGCCTCGACCAGCCTGAGCGGCAGCAGGAGTTCGCTTGGCCTCTTGGAGGTGCTTGAGGAATCTGTTGGTCGGCCAAGAAAAATTATGTTTGCAGGCGGGCAGCTTATTGTCAGAAGCGTAAGAGAAGAGAAGGTTGACTCAAGACCTTGGTATCACTATTAACGAGTGCGCCGGGCATGTTATCCCATGCACAGCAGAAGGGGCCGGGACCGCCCCTCCACCAACACATGCCATCAATGATACACGAAACCCCTACATCTCCGTAGATCAGTATCGAGTGCTGGGTACTCCAAACAAAGAAGACGAAGATCGACATGGAAAGGGAGAACACAACCGAAGGAAAGCAGCAACAACCTTCAACCTGTTGCAGTACTACATTGATAGTTCCATGCCGCTTCGAGGTGACTATAGTGAAGAGGTACAAATCACATTTCATGATGGCAGATGAGAGCAGAGAGTGGTGTGTGACCAGAGGGTCGGCGGGCAAGCAGACGTGCCGGTAGAGGGACGCAGAGCTGATACATCTCTCCTCGAACCTGGATCCAAAAAGTGATTGTCGTGATTGTCCATGAAACGTCATGTCTACAGATACGTTCAAGCTTCTCACAACAAAAAGGAGTTCGTCTATCGCGGACACCAAACCTCGAGGGGTAAAGAACCGGATTGAGAATTAGTTTGGTGGGGTGGAGCACTCGAGATTGTTTTGTTTGGTGGCCTGACTCAAAGAAGGCCCCACGCAACATGAACGAATGAACCACTAGTCCTTAGCCATAGCGATGTTTGCAGCTGGGCCCGGTCGAGCCCCCTCTCCTGGATAGCAATTACTTTCCTCGATCGCATCGATCGCATCGACAATACCGTATACGACACAAGATAACTCGCCCCCTGGACCGATTTTCGAAGCTCGATTGCTCCACGACGAAGAGGATGCATAAACGAAACGATACAGTTTCGGAAAGCTCTCGACGAGACGGCTTCAACGCCGCCGTTTTAGGCGCTGTGAATCTTTATGCTGATGAGAAATCGAGCGTTGAAAATAGGCCCGGGGTGCGCGTTATCTTGTGTCGTATACGGTAGGAGACCGCGCCTTCCGTGAGAAACAAGGCAAGCACCCTCAACACCGCCAAAACTCTCTGAACATATTTGAAACGAGCAAAAATCTCCCCAAAACACGGCTGAAACAATCTTTTGAGCGAGGCTGAGAATCACGCAAGTGAGTACCTCTCGTGCGCCTTCGCAATGTCTGCGGAGCCCAGCCCAGGCTCCTTGGCGAGGTATCCCGCGTCTGCCATGCGCTTGTACATGCGCCCGATCTGCGAGAGGCACGCGACGAAACGAAACAGGGCGGGGCGTGGAAAGCAACCCCATTTGACGAATCTGATCCTGTCGTCTCAGGGTTGGGGGACCGCTCTGCCCTCCATCTATCCAGTAGTTCCTTTGCCCTACCTTCCCAGGATTAGAGGTTACAAGTTAGCGGTTCGAAAACCTGTGGTGGAGGAAGAAGGCAACTTAGACGTCGGTGGCAAGGAAGCTTGTCCCACCGCTTGGAACACAGAAGTACTACACCGAGCGTGGTATCTCCACTGCTGGTATGCCTTGGTGTCCGGCTCTGAGCGACGCCGTTGTTTCCTACGTTTGTTTCGGTTTATGCTTCGCGAGGCAACTCCATTCAACAATTTTCAAGCTAGGTCCGAGATCTCAGGTGGCGCTTCCACAGGCCTCTCCGCTAGGTTCTCTATGATATCTTGCATGCGCGTTTGAGGTGGCCTGCATCTGTAGCTTGCTGAATCAGCACGAACAAGCAGGGATGCCGGGCAGTTGTATATGCAGAAATCACGACCTCTTGCAGTGTAGGCGAAAGAATACCATCACGATCAACGCTAAGAGGTAGGATCTAAGGAGTACTTCAGGAAAAATAACTTCAATTATTATTCTTCAGGACAAGATAAAATTTCTTGATTTCTGAACACAAAAATATGATTAGTTCTGGGTTTTTAGCTATTGAAGAACCTAAAACTCTACCATTCAGGTTCTAATACTTACTTCGAGAACCCTATCGGGGACGGGCTTGCCGCCCACAAGGAATTTGTCTAGAAGTTTCTCTCGCACGGCCCAATTCGGCACGTTGCCCTTAATCCCGATGTCGCAGTACCATAGCCGTACCACAAGAGGTCTGCTTTCGTCCTTCGCGCCAAACAGAAGAGTGTTCGAACGGGGTTCCGGGGGGGTTGGACTTTGGGTGATTCAATGCGGATGGGAGGGGAGGGGATGGGCGATCGGCATGCGTTGGTGGCAAAACGTTGGGGGATGCGGGGTGGAAAAAGAACAGGCGTGGGGGATGCGGTACTGAACCTAACTTGTTTTCGTTGCTGGCGTCCGTGTGATTGTGCGTGGTTTGGAATGGGCAACCTGCTTCATCTCAGGCAAGATGCATGTGTTGCTTCATTTCAGGCATGAACGCGTGCTGCATTCGGCGTGACGGCTCGTACAGCTACGCTGCTTATTTTCCTCTTCCCTCCGACAAGAGAATTTGACTAGCGTAGGAATACACACACCGTGGCCTTTCGACCAAAAGGGCGACCTGACGGACACCGTCCGGTGTTTTTTTTTCCGCCACCGTACTCGGCCACCTACCATCTCTGCGTTGTTTTCATCACTTTGTATCAGCTCTCACGCATGGCGTTTCTGCCCGGTACCAAGGGAGGTCCAATTCGTGGTCACACAGGAGGGTTCCTCCACCCTGAAGTTGGAATTTTTGTCAGGCCTGACTTACCGCAAGTCTCCCGAGCCCTGCGTAGAGGTCGATGATCTGCAGGTCCGAGGTGTGGTCTTCCAGAAGGTTGTCTCCCTTCTCCAGAGGAGAGGTGTCCTGCGGGCCGAAAGGTTCGTTCCCGGAGTCGCAGAGCAAAGGGGTGCGAGCAACCAATAGCAGTCGTCCCTCGGTTCACGACGCACATGCATGGTTTGTCGTTGTAACAGGGGCCCATAAAAAGATTGATACCCCCCCATTGTGTTGTGCATTCTGCGGGGAACAATGCCCGCGAAAAATAGTGATGTCCTTGACCGGGGGAGGACTCTACTCCACATTCTCACGCCAGGTCGCAGCATGACGACGTGCTGCTCGGCAATCGCAACTCTGGTTCCTGAAAGGCACCAACAAAACTACCGTTCTCACATCAGGACCGCAGAACGTTCCCCCTTCGGGATGCGCAACTACAGCAAAGGTGCCTGAAAGGCACCAAGCTGCCGACTCTTTCTGTTGCCGAGCGTTGTAGCTTGCTCCTAACGCCTGGCGAGTACAAGGTGAAGGGACACTCACCAAGAGGAGCTTGATGAGCCTCCGTTCGTCCGGGAACATCATGTTTAGCTCGTAGTGTCGAGCGATCTTTAGCGGGTTCAGCACGTTGAGGTATCTGGGGAGCGCAGGCGCAGGGCGAAGAGAGGCAGATAACGTGCGCGCCGAGCAACGTCTAAGAGAGGTTTTTCCCTCAGTCCTGCGGGAAATTCATCACCGTTTTGTCGCTTCAAGGAACTGTAGGTACGATTCACGCACCAAGTGAATCCGTTCACGCCACACAACCGTAATCTGCAGTATCCTTCGCATGGTACTCTTTCTGCAGGTTTGGCATAATGAATTATCATGCGGCAAACAAGGCCATTCTTCGACCGTAGCTCCCCAATCGTCATGGCACTCTGCTTCCTCTTGGACAATCTCCCGTAAAAACCTCCATGCATAGCATCACGCCAACCGTAGCTGTTCCAGAATTCCCTAGACACACCGCTCAAATGACCCGAAAGCTTGATTGACACAAGTGCCATCCCTAACGAGTTATTATTCGCTCGTGGGTTGGCTATCCGTCAGAAATCTGTTGCTTTCAAACCAAAGCACAAATTTATCGTTGGCGGGATCATTGAGCCTCCCGTAGACGTCGCCGCTATCTTTATCCTATTACACTAGCCTCGACAGCAGCTATTCCCTGTTCCTCGAGTAGAGTGCGGCCTAATAATCCTAACCCGAACTAAACGCTGAAAACGTTGACCCTGGTGCGCTCAACCCCGTGCTCAAGACGCACGGCAGCGGAACTAGTTCCTGCGCGTCTCTGCATCGTCATACTAGTGGCTCGATGTTTTCCTCGTGTACGTGCGTGGTTTAACCGTTCCAAATTAGTTTTCCAAGTTTCCAAACTTCCCAACCCGTAGACCTCGATTTGCGGCCGGGCACGAGCTTTGGAAACTTAAAAGAAAAATTGGAATTTCGACACCGCTGACGCCGACTCGGTTCCAATTGTGTTTTGAATAGTGGAAATCTGAAGATCCCTAACTTGGAAAGTTGGAATTTTGGATGCAAAACGTGGGTGCTGTTTTTAACGGGGCCATACCCGAGCCTCGAGGCGGCCTGCTTTTCCGCCCCTGCGGGGAGGGTGGCGAAGACGGCGTCAAAGTTCTCAAGGTCCCACGTTCTGCCGAAGAGGGCTGTGACAGCGGTGGCCTGAAGCTTGGTGTGCTCAAAGCCGTCCA